GTCTTACACTGCCTGGTCAACAACAGTCCATCAACACTGTGAGTAGAATGTCAATAATTCATGTCTCCTTTGGGAATCTACTGTCGTACACATAAGACGAATATTCTCTAAAGCAAGTTGCTAACGGCTAACTGCTCTTTACTACTCATAATCACTTCATCAATGCCAAGTACTGGCACTAGTTAAAAATAAACCACACCTAGTAGCAGTGAGTGTATCACCTCAGTCCGTGTGCCTATGTTCAGATGACGACTTCATTGTTCCACGTTTTTTGAAGAACCGACACTTAGTCTCACACATGACCTCCACTTTGCATACACTCAGCAGCCGTACATGTCATGCAAATGAGCATGAGCGCGTGATGCACTTCATACAACTTCAGACGGATACTTAGATGGTCACCATGGTAACAGTTGTCCAGTATGTTTGTCAGTGATGTGGATTGTGTCCAGGCAGACTGAGGAAGCATGTAGAGCCTTATTGACTGGGGTAATGGAGGTGAAGAAACACAGGTTTAAATGTGCTAAATAATTTAAGATGAAGCTTGTTTTTTTTAGTGCTGTCTGCACTATAGCCTTAGTCACAGGACTTACCTGAGAACGAAGAGACCAATGTTTAAACTCTGTGTTGAGGTGTGTGTGTGAGTCCTTGTTTTATGACACCCTTGACCTACGTTGTTTTGTGGTTATGTCACCATCTCCCATTATTGTTTATGGGAGACGTCTTGTAAAACAAGGAAAGGATTTGGCCAGTCTTGTGCTACATTCACTTTCTTGTGTTTGTTTTTTTTTTTACTTGAGTCAGACTCGTCTGATGTTCTTTGGTCCCAGATTATGATGTTACCATTGTGTTAGTGTAGGTGAGTGACGTATTTACTTAAGGAGGTTTTTTTGTTGTAAGGACACATTGGAACACATTTCACACCCAGTGAATAAAAGGAGATTTTGAGCTTAAAGATTTAGTTGGAATTAAAATTAAGGTTTGGTCAAAGTAAAAGAAATATTTATGCCTTGGTTAACTAATTTAGGAATATTGAGTCAGTGGCTAGGGAGTGTGGAAGACACTTCACATAGAAAATGATTGTGTGTGTGTGTGTGTCTGTGTGTGTGTGCAATCCAATTACAGGAGCTGTAGTAGTCCGACTTCATCAAAGGCTGTGAAAGGCGTAGACCTCTCATCACCCCTGATAGCCAGTGTCTGGAGAGAAAAGGAAGATTCCCTGCACAATCGGCTGGATCTCAATGGAAACATTCACATTTCCAGTCCTGATTCGGTGGATTCCTGGAGAGAAACTGATACTGTGTGTCATCATGTCAGAGGTGAAACTGCTCCTGCAGATTCTGATTTGAAGCTGGAGACTCAACAGCCCAGTGATCGTCAAGGTAGGAGACTGAAATGTGTTTCCTTCCTCCTTGTTTAGACAGAGGTTTGTGAAGGTGTAAAGATTTGTGACGATCACTGTAGTGACATTATCAGACATTATCTCAGGGCGATTTTGAATCAATTTACTGTAGCCATAAAGAAGAATTAAAGCAAATCTATTGATGGGAATTTTATTTTAGGGAGAGATTCATTACCATCTGCGTCCACATCACGATAAAAAATTATAGCTTTTTTAAATGCGGCTACACTATAAAAAATGCTCCTTGTGCTAATGCACTAAGACATGTATTGATCAGACCACGAGATTAGGAAAATATTTTAGTTTGTCTCTGTGCTACTTTACATTTTCCTCATAATATTTATATTTAACATTTTGTCAGTAAAAATCACTTTCCTTTGTCTGTATTTGTCAGTTAATACATTTCCAAACTGAGCTCTGTGGATTTAAGCCTTTTTCAGGAGTTGTACTAACTCTTGGAAAATATGTTGGCACAGGTTCATGTTTTATTTAAATCTAAAAGTTGAAGTGTTCACATTCAAACAGACCAGACTGTAAAGTCTGAAAAGCACAGATCATAAATCCTGTTGAACCACAAACCTCTGGTGACTGATGGGTAGAAACATTTGTTGTTGTTCAGATTCTTGTGTTTCCTCTCAACATTTGTCTTCATGTTCTTTGCTCTGAGCTGATATTCCCAGCAAACTCTTACACAAAGACAGGCTTTTAAGAAGAGAATGTATGTGTTGCTATTAATAATAGCAATAAAGAGGGTGAACTTCCTTTGGGTCCATCTGTTTAACACTGGATTCATTGTGCAGCCAGGGGTTGTCCATGTGTACCGATGGCAGTGCTGTCATATGGCACATTGTGTTTTCCAGACATGTTCTGTTTGCTTGGCTGCTCCTTCCATGTGATTTTTTTTCTCAGTTTCTGGCTTCAATTTTCAAAGAACCAAAGCCATTCCAGTCGCCCACTTCTGAACTTCTTACATCTCTCTCTTTGTCGTCCTTTTTTTCCTATTGGCTCTGGTTCCTTTCCCTGTTCACTGGTAAAGGCATCACCATGGACACCTCAGACACAGGGTTGATGGAGGGAGGAGATGACATGGCGGGGGTCGCTGATGAAAGCCCCTCTGAAGTGGAGTGTACGTCAGCGGGAGAGGCAGAGCTGCTGGAAGCCTGTGATGATGAGCAGATGAGTCCTGACAGCTCGGAGGACATGGAGGACAGCGGCTCGCTGGTATCAGAACAGTTTCTCACACCTGGATCTAAAGCGGGGGGACTGGGTCTTTTTCTAAGGCCGGCCTGGTACTTGGCAATCTTTGAAGAACAGTGTTTTAGTCCTGAGGTGTCGGAGTATGCTGTGAGTCTGGGACAGCACACAGGAACCCCGTGTCTGGATGTGAAGAGACAGGTGAGTGAACCTGTCAGAGCTTCTGCTATGGACTCACAGCTAACCTTTACTCTGTGTTTGAACAAACAGCAGAAGAGCCTGAATTATTTATCAGATCCTGGCACAGACACAGCACTAAATGTGTTTTATGAATCATAACACATTCACCAATACAGCAATTTTATACTTTTTTTTTTTTACATTTTTGATACTTGTAATGAAAGGCTTAATAATGTTAGGCATTTTATTATTGCACAAAACTTCATAAATGTACATCAGCTAGAGTCAAAGCTATGTCACAGAAAAGCTGTTTGATTTCCTGTTACTTTTCTTCAAACAGGAACTGCAGCAGCAGCTCATGATTGAAACCAGGAATTTGAAGAAGATGAGAAATTTTTACCTGAAGCTCCTTCAACAGGAGAGAAAACACAAAGGTAACGTTTTAATCAAGAGCACTGGTCAATGATGGTGACCTAAGCTTAGCTAAAATGGTACGAACTTTATCCAACAGGTTCTGCGAACAAACTGATGCTCTCCAAACTGAAGTCCCAGCTTGAGGAGCTTAGATCGAAAGTGATGTTTTTGGAGTCTGTCATGAAATACCTGGAGGTACTTGGAGAGAGAAAAACTAGATCATATTTTTATCTAAATCTCTACACATGATGTCATGTGGGGATGTGATGATCAAGGTTCTCTATGTTTCTGTAGATTCTCAGTGTGGAACAGTGGGGATTGGAAGTGTCATTGTTGCCCTCTTTAGTCTCTGGTTCCGTTGATCTTCATCCCTCTGAGGACGTGTCCTTTTTGAACTTTGGCAACAGTAAACAGAAAAGAATCCTGCAGGCGGGGTCTCCTCAGGGCCTCATGGCCTACCTCTACAGCAGGTGTTGTTGCTGGGGGTTTAGCCTTCACTTCACTTGTGTCGACATGCCTGAAAACAACTCCAAGTGTCTGAACTTGTGAAGGCCGACTGACGCCTCACACTCAGCCCTTGTAGATGTTTGAATGCCTCTGCACCTACGTACTGAGACATTAGGCACTTGAATGGTTTTGAGATAAAACCTAAGAAGCGATGCCTTGAACAAACTCATTTTTATCACTTTTATCACAGAAATGCTGCGTCAGAGGGCTACATCCAGCAGTTCCTGTACACCTACCGTTTCCTCTGCACTCCTGAGCAGTTACTGCAGTTCTTGATGAATAAATTCATCAGTGCGGCAAGGTACAGTAGCCAGTATGTGTTCTGTTAAAGACTTATTTTTCCATTCATCCATCTATCATTTACACTTTATATTCTTCAAGGATCAAAAATGATGTATGTGTATGTAATATATTTAACTTAGTGTCAGATCATTATGTGTGTGTGTTTTATTCCAGACACGGCCCAGATACGTCAGGAGAAAATACAAAAATCTTCCGTCGCACTTTGGATTTGCTCCAGTTCTGGATAACAACCTGCACAGAAGTGGATTTCACACCAAAGTCCAGTCTCGTGGCTACATTAGAGAACTTCATCAATACTGAGGTACATCACCCTCACTGACTGCAACAGTACTGTGGGCATGGTTGTTAGAGAGAGTGATATATCTGCGTTCATCTGTAAAAAAAAAAAAAGAAAAAGATATAGTAATTTATTTTTAGATATTTGCAGTTACTCCCTTCAGCAAATGTATATCGTACATTTTTTTATTTATAATATAAAACAGAAATTCATATAAATAATTTTATCATCTAAAGTCAGTACAAAAACATTAGTGACTGCGCCCCAAACTATAATCATTTTATAATAGCTAATATATTCTATAAGTGTATATTTTATATATATAGTAAATATTAATCTGACTAAATGCAGATTTTAGGGAATTTGATTCATTGGCTTTTCTTCACATACAACACAATTCTTTACTTCATTTGTTGAGTTCAAAATAAACCTAATAAAAAAATAATTATTTTTTTGCATTTCTAAATTATATCTATAAAAAAATTATCTCAACCAAAAAAATACCTTGATTCACAGAACTCAAGGTATAAACTAAAAAATATAAACTATAAAGACAATTCTGCCTACCCCCTGAAATGACCCCATGATTGGGAACGACTGTAGTAACTGACGTGTCAATGTTGCTGCAGGTCATTCCTTCAGACGCCCGGGGACAAGTCCTTCTTGCTGCTCTTCACAACCTGCAAAATACTAGTGGAGGACAAAACCGATTAAGTCCAACTGGCTTGGACGAGGAGACTGACAGCATGAGCGTGCATTCATCAAGAGAGGATCTTGGCAGAAAGGTAAAAAAAAACAACTTCTATCCAGAACTACTCTGGTAAACTACACATCAATGCATACTTAAATTCCTTTAATATACAATGGATGTTCAATGTATTATTTTAGAGATTTTTGTTGTTGTTTAATTTCCTTTCTTCTTTCTGACCTTTTAGTGGAGGATCTCACGAGCTGTGGAACTCTCTGCGTCCACTCCTAAAGAGAATTTCTTCTCCATCGCTGCAGCTTTGCCAGTGCCGTGCTGTGGAACTCTGCTCTTCAGCCAGAACGAATGCAGTGCACAGCACATAGCCCAGCAGCTCACACTCCTGCAGCAGGTACGCTTACTCCGTTTAAACCACAAGAGGGCGACAGAGCTCTAATAATACATGACAATATTTGATGCAGGAGATGTTCCGAGGATGTCACCCGGTGCATTTTCTCAACTCGAGGATACAGGGAATCACGGACAATATGTTAATCCCAAACAAGTGAGTATGGTGTTTAGTTCTTGATAATTTAACCACTGATGTAGTTTTTGGAGGAAAGGATTGAAAGAACAACCGAATTTGCATGAATCCTACAACACATATGATATTAACCCTTTATTTTAAATAGATAATTGTTGTGTTGCAATGCAATGAAATGTTTTGATAAATTTGTTTTTATATATTATAAAAATTACTTCTGTGACCAATACTTTAACAAAGCTGCGGCCACAAAACTGTTAATGAAATAATTGTACGATTGTTGGAAGTTGTCAATTCTGAATGTTTCTGTCCTTTATTGAGATTTATTGGGTTCCGTGACATTTTCTAATGAAGTTCTTTCTGCCCTCCGAACAGGAATGTGTCTCAGCACACTCCTCCAGCAGAGGGCAACAGTGTACGGGAGGGCACTGCGTCAGACAGCCACTTGCAGCAGCTTCTCACATATGCTGACAGTGTTACCAATTGGATCTCATCTGAAATAGTTCTCTGTGACTCCACCAAGGTAAAGGGGAAATGCATGTATTTTGACAGCCTGAACCAAATTTGTTTTTTTCCTTTCATCTGTAACCTTTACCAGCGGGAACTGTCCTCATCAAAAAGTACATGAGTAAGTTGTGTAATATAATATGAGTGACTGTTTAGCTCTGATATGTTAAAATGAAAAGAATCTCTTTGACTTCAGCTTCATTATTTTTTACCACTGCTGTTCTTCTTCACAGGCACAAGTTGCTTTAGTGACAAAGTATCTATGGATTGGAAAGCACTGCTATGAATCGAGGAACTTTGCCACGGCCATGCAGGTCCTGGCAGGTCTGGAGAACGTGAGCGTCAGACAGTTACCAGTAAGTCTTAATAAATGCATCCACAAATGCGTTCTGGGAGTAATTATCCGTAGTGTAATTGTGCTGAAGTGAAACGTTTTCTTCAGCTGTGATACAACATTAGTTTGTGTTTTAATTTGTTTTGGAAAATGAGAAAATATCACTTTCTGATTAAATGTGAATGATGAAATTTTAAGGAAACGTGTGCCTGTGAGAAGAGGAAATAAAAAAGAAACAATTTTGACGCATTACTGAACAAAAACACTGCACACTTCCTCCTCCTCACAGGTTTGGAAACATCTGCCATCCAAAGTGTTGGAGATACTGGACGAGCTCCGGGCTGTGCAGGTGTGTATGAGTGGATGTGTCCAGGCAGGCACACACACATATGCTGTTTATATATGAAGGGCAAATGAATCAATAAAAAAACAACTTAGCAGTTACTTTCCTGTGTGATGAGAGGCTGCAGCTAATGCTGTCGTCCCTCACACGGCAGCATGTGTGAAACAAAATGAAGAAATAATTTTAATAGGCATGTCATTGCTCTATGTTCAGGTGTTTCTGAAGAGTGATGACCTGTGTCTGATAACTGGGAGACACCTAAAGATGAAGCCCACGCTGCCGCCAGTCCATGTTCTCGCCATGCACGTGCAGCAGCTGGAGATCGGCGCCTTCACACTCACTACTGGAGCCTACAAGTGGAGCAAGCTCAGGTGAAGGACAGTCCAGGTGTCTTCCCAGGTGTCATTCTGTCCAAAAAGAATGACTCTATTCAGACATACTCATCGCCTGCATATGAGAAAGTTTACCAACTAATTTCCCAGTGTCCTTCTTCCTCGCTTCAATATGGCTGACCAGATGCTGGGGCCACGGAGAGTGGCAGTTAGATGGTAATGACACAGCTGTTGGAATTGGGCTATTGGTGGAGGTGCCAGAGTTGTACCAGATGGTGCCTGTGGGATGGGTTCAGTTGGAAAAGAGGTTTTCAGTACAGATGCTTAGGTCAGGTGATCTAGCAGCTGTGTGGCATGGAGGCTGTGGGGTTTTTTCTGTCCTATTAAGGTCAGAGCCAAAGAGCGAAGCCTGATGGTTAGACGATAAATAAATATTCTAAATGTGTATTTAAAGTATGACTTGTCAGATCGATTTCTCATCATTGAAATGTGGTTTTAGGAGCATCGCAAAGGTGGTGAGTCAAGTCCATGCCTTCCAGGAGGTGATGTTCTCCTACTGTCCCGACCAGGAGCTGCAGACCTACCTTCAGCGACGCATCACTTGGCTGTTCTCCTCCAACATCCACAGATTGGCAGCAGACAACGATAGAAACTTCCAACAGTCCAAGGAGCGCCAAACACGGAAAATCCAGGAAACGCTAAGGCGGGTGAAGGCTACACTCCAGTGAACCCTGGCATGCACCAGCCCTAAAAAACAGGAAAAAAGAATGGAAGCACATTTAGGTTGACACCTGCTGATGGAGGTTCCATGCATCGGGTGTTAGTCTGGACACCTGAACACCAGTTGTTTGTTTTTGATTCTACAAAAGTTGGATTCTTCTTCAAAAACTCTGATACCAGCATTTCTGTTTAATTTTTAAACAAACTTTCCCTGTAATGAATGTTAGTGGGACTGCAACAGGAAATGAGATGCCAGCACCCAAATATTACAGGTTGAGATGCTATGATCTATAAATGTTAACCTGGAATCAAATTATCTTCTGCCACTATACAATATAATTGAAAATGTCAATTTTTTATAACACGGTGAGGTGGAAATTGACCAATAGAACTAAAAAAACTCACATTAGTTAAAGATTATCTGGATTAATATGTTTGTAGGGTTTTCACAATATTTACATGTGTAGATAAATAATTTTAAGTTTATAGAAATATTCCATCCACTTTCAGGCCAATAACTGCAAAGACCACTGCAGCTTTAGTTAATGTCAAATTGTTTAAGTACCATCCATTTATTGTTGATTACTTCCATTTGACTTGTAAGAAGACAAAAACATGGCAACATGTTTTCATTGATGAAACAGTTGATCTATTGATTCTGCTGCCTGCAGCAGGTAGACGTGTACACTTTCCGTCTGCCTAATGGGGTTTTTACGACTGGGTTTGTGATCGATGTCTGGTATTAACTTAAATTAAGCAGCACAATGTTGAATAATTACATTTATTACTAACAGCACGTCATGAGGGTAAGGTTCAACTAAAGCTTTCTCCTGCAGGTGAGGTGATGTTACATTTGGAGTCTCTGTCTATTTTTCTACTTTCCTGCCCGCTCCCTCTCCCCCTCTATGCTTTCCTGCTTTGAATTGCGCTGTGGAGATGAAGTGTGATGTACTGCCAACATTTGCCTGATTCAGCCAAATAAATTTTTGTAAGCTCTCCTCTGTCAGGGGTATTATTGTCAGAAGACATCCATCCTTTGTCCGTTCTACCAGGAGGTGAACCCTGGATTTCCACACCGTTGACAGAGGCGTTGCCTCTGAGCTACAGCACCACAGAGACTGAGTAATTTGGAACTACTTCATGTCCTTCACAAGAAAAGAAAAGAATATCTTACTAGGTGAGAATTACCTTGAATTCTATCGCCTGTACTGCACTAGCAGTCACTCTGTCATCCTACTGGATGTTTTTTTTTTAAACCAAAGTATAACAATAGCTTCCGTTAGCTGTTAGTTTGGATCTCTCTTCTGAAGTACTAATTCATTTTTCTTGACTAACATGTAGCAACCTAACAGACTGTATTTATTTATCTGACAGAGGTCAACAAGCTGCAGGGTGTGTGAGTCACAGAAACCCAGATGGACATTCTTTACTCAGAGTCAGACTGCTTCAAGCTCAGAGCTTAGAAAAGGAGAGGATGAAGAGGAGAAGTAAGGGTAAGAGGTAAGGAGGGAGCGGGAGATCAGGGTGATAAAAATTCCCATCTGATTGATGGAAAGGTTAAATTCCAGAAGAAGAGGAAAACAAGTTCTCGACGAACAAACTAAGAAATATGTTTTCCCTATGGCTATGCATTAAAGAGGCGATCTTAGCAGAGCTAGAATGCAATGTATGTATAGCCCTTCATATATTGACATTTTTGGAATTCTGCTGGGGGAAAAACTGAAGCATAGTCTTAAATTGTCATCAATCAAAAATCAATATTTCTTCAGTCAACAGACAACTGCAGGTAATATATATATGTATATATATATGTATATATATATATATATATATATATGTATATATATATATATAT